AAGTCCTTAACATCGTGGTTCATCCGATGAGATCATCGTGGAACATGTGGGAGCCATCATGGGTATCCAGATCCCGCTGTTGGTTATTGACCGGAGAACGTCTCGGTTATGTCTACATGTCTCCCGAACCCGTAGGGTCTACACACTTAAGGTTCGATGACGCTAGGGTTATAAAGGAAGTTTGTATGTGGTTACCGAATGTTGTTCGGAGTCCCGGATGAGATCCCGGACGTCACGAGGAGTTCCGAAATGGTCCGGAGGTAAAGATTTATATATGGGAAGTCCTATTTTGGCCACCGGAAAATGTTCGGGATTTTTCGGTATTGTACCGGGAAGGTTCTAGAAGGTTCCGGAGTGGGGCCCACCTGCATGGGGGGACCCACATGGACGTGGGTAGTGGGGGCAAGGCCCCACACCCCTGGTCAAGGCGCACCAATACCCCCCCCTTAGAAGGAATAAGATCATATCCCGAAGGGATAAGATCAAGATCCCTAAAAAGGGGGGATAACAATCGGTGGGGAAGGAAATAATGAGATTTCTTTCCTCCCACCTTGGCCAACGCCCCAATGGACTTGGAGGGCAAGAAACCAGCCCCTCCACCCCTATATATAGTGGGGAGGCGCATGGGAGCTATAGACGAAGTTCTGGCGCAGCCCTCCCCCTCTCACAAGTACTCCTCCTCTCCCGCGGTGCTTGGCGAAGCCCTGCAGGATTGCCACGCTCCTCCACCACCACCACGCCATTGTGTTGTTGCTGGATGGAGTCTTCCTCAACCTCTCCCTCTCTCCTTGCTGGATCAAGGCTTGGGAGACGTCACCGGGCTGTATGTGTGTTGAACGCGGAGGTGCCGTGCGTTCGGCACTTGATCATCGGTGATTTGAATCACGACGAGTACGACTCCATCAACCCCGTTCACTTGAACGCTTCCGCTTAGAGATCTACAAGGGTATGTAGATGCACTCTCCTTCCCCTCGTTGCTGGTCTCTCCATAGATAGATCTTGGTGACACGTAGGAAAATTTTGAATTTCTGCTACGTTCCCCAACAAAATTCCCACTAGTATATGAAAGTGACAACATAAGAGACTCTCTATCATGAAGGTCATGGTGCTACTTTGAAGCACATGTGTGGAAAAAGGATAGTAACATTGCCCCTTCTCTCTTTTTTTGGGCCTCTCTTTTTTATGGCCTTTCTCTTTTTTTCGAAGAACTTTACTCACATGGGACAATGCTCTAATAATGAAAATCATCACACTTTTATTTACTTTACAACTCAAGAATTACAACTCGATACTTATAACAAAATAGGACTCTATGTGAATGCCTCCGGCGGTGTACCGGGATATGAATCAGAAGTGACATGTATGAAAGAATTATGAAGGTGGCTTTGCCACAAATACAATGTCAACTACATGATCATGCAATATGACAATGATGGAGTGTGTCATAATAAATGGAACGGTGGAAAGTTGCATGGCAATATATCATGGAATGGCTATGGAAATGCCATAATAGGTAGGTATGGTGGCTGTTTTGAGAAAGATATAAGGAGGCTTATGTGTGATAGAGCGTATCATATCACGAGGTTTGGATGCACCGGTGAAGTTTGCACCAACTCTCGAGGTGAGAAAGGGCAATGCACGGTACCGAAGAGGCTAGCAATGATGGAAGGGTGAGAGTGCGTATAATCCATGAACTGAACATTAGTCATAAAGAACTCAATACTTATTGCAAAAATCTACAAGTCATCAAAACCAAGCACTACGTGCATGCTCCTAGGGGGATAGATCGGTAGGAAAAGACCATCGCTCGTCCCCGACCGCCACTCATAAGGAAAGCAATCAAAGAACACCCCATGCTTCAAATTTGTCACACAACTTTTACCATACGTGCATGCTACGGGACTTGCCAACTTCAACACAAGTATTTCTCAATTCCATAGTTACTCAACTAGCACAACTCTAATATTAGCACCTTTATATATCAAAATAACTATCAAGAATCAAACTTCTCATAACATTTAATGCACTCTATATGAAAGTTTTTATTATACCCATCTTGGATGCCTATCATATTGGGACTAATTTCATAACCAAAGCAAATTGCCATGTTGTTCTAAAAGAATCTCAAAATAATATAAGTGAAGCATGAGAGATCAATAATTTCTATAATATAAAACCACCACCATGCTCTAAAAATATATAAGCGAAGCACTAGAGAAAAATTATCTAGCTCAAAAGATATAAGTGAAGCACATAGAGTATTTTAATAAATTCCGATTCATGTGTGTCTCTCCCAAAAGGTGTGTACAAAAAGGATGATTGTGGTAAACTAAAAAGCAAAGACTCAAATCATACAAGACGCTCCAAGCAAAACACATATCATGTGGTGAATAAAAATATAACGTCAAGTAAAGTTACCGATAGATGAAGACGAAAGAGGGGATGCCTTCCGGGGCACCCCCAAGCTTAGGCTTTTGGTTGTCCTTGAATTTTACCTTGGGGTGCCTTGGCCATCCCCAAGCTTAGGCTCTTGTCACTCCTTATTCCGAAATCCATCAAATCTTTACCCAAAAACTTGAAAACTTCACAACACAAAACTCAACAGAAAATCTCATGAGCCACGTTAGTATAAGAAAACAAACCACCACTTTAAGGTACTGTAATGAACTCATTCTTTATTTATATTGGTTTTAAACCTACTGTATTCCAACTTCTCTATATTTCATACCCCCCCCCATACTAGCCATAGATTCATCAAAATAAGTAAACAACACACGAAAAACAGAATCTGTCAAAAACAGAACAGTCTGTAGTACTTTGTAGGTTTCGATTATTCTGTAACTCCAAAAATCCTGAGAGTGATGATTAATCCGGTGGTGTGCATGGATGTGTGGCCTCCTTGCCACCTCGTCGACGAGAGTGATGATTAATGGTGCACCTAGTAAGCCGATCTTGCCCTACAAAGGGCTACGTCAAGGGGCTCCACTTTCCCCCATGCTTTTCATCCTCTGCATCGAGCCCCTACGCTGCCTCTTCCAATATTGCTTAGAACACGGGACTCTCTCTCCTCTCTCCAGAACAGGATTACAACAACGGGTCTCCTTATTCGTTGATGATGTCATGGTATTCTTCAAACCAACCGAACTGGAGACTCGCACCTGTGGTGCCATCATGGACCTGTTTGGGCATGCCTCAGGGCTGACTGTCAATATGAGCAAGAGCGCCGCCATACCTATCCGCTGCTCCCAAGATGAGATGTCGCTAGTCTGCTCAATTCTCGGATGCTCGAGTGCCTCATTCCCATGCACGTATCTAGGGCTGCCACTCACTCTACGCAAGCAATCTGCGGTGCAACTTCAATGCCTAGTGGACAAGCTAGCGGATTGTCTGCCACATTGGAAGGCAGCAATGCTTCCAAAGAGTGGTCGCCTAATGTTGATCTTATCGGTCCTCTGCGCAATACCAATACACTCCATGCTTGCTATGAATCTACCAGCGAAAATCATCACGACGCTTATCAAAATATGACGTGGGTTCCTTTGGTGCAGCAAGAAGGAAGCAACGGGAGGGCACTGTGCCGTGGCATGGGAGAGCGTATGCAGGCCTAAATGGGCAGGCGGTCTAGGAATCCCTAACCTGAGATGGTTGAACAAGGCACTACAAGCAAGGTGGCCATGGCTACAAAAAAACAGACAAGGATAGGCCCTGGGCGGAATTCAAAATTGACATTCCAGCTGCGTCTCGTGCTCTATACATTGCGGCCTCAAGGACAATTGTGGGCAACGGCCGAAGTACACTTTTCTGGGAGGACATGTGGCTCGTGGGATACCGGGTATGCGAGCTGGCTCCGGACATTTACAACCGCATTCAGAGACGTACGCGAGCCTCGCGGACAATCGCAGACGCGCTCATAGATGGGGAGTGGGCGAGAGACATCGGGCCAAATCTTTGAGCCATGGAGCTAACACAGTTCTTGGCATTGTGGCAAAAGATCAAGGACACGCAACTAGTGGAAGGGGAGGAGGATAGAACTATATGGGCATGGGAGCATGACGGGTGCTTCTCGGCCTGGTCTGCCTACGCGGTCAAGTTCATGGGCCTAGAAGTGTCACCAACGGCCGCGTTCACCTGGAAGTTGAATGCGCCCCTGCAATGTCGCTTCTTCCTTTGGCTCGCGATCGAAAATAGATGTTGGATTTCGGACCGTTTGGCACGAGGGCTACCACATCAGGACGCATGTCCCTTCTGTGACCAACATGAGGAATCAATACAACACTTGTTGTTAGACTTTGTCTGTGCGAGACAAGTCTGGCATGAGATGGGGATGATGACAGGACAACAAGAGCTGGAGCCACTTCAGGATGAAACGTTGAGTGCTTGGTGCTTGAGGCAGGACCATGATCCGAGACACAGGAGATCCACACGGGCAAAGTGCCTCCTTGCCATGTGGATGATTTGAAAACATTGCAATGACATCGTCTTTAAGGAGGCGCCACTATCTCCGTCGAGGGTCAAGGAACAACTTCAAGAAGAAGGGAAGCTTTGGGCCAAAGCTGGCATGTTCAAGAACGAAAATAGAGGGTTTGAGGAGCTAGGTATAGTGGGCGGACGGACCATGAGTAATACGATATAATGTAACGGTGGAGTTGGGAGAATATCCCGTGTGTAAATATTGTAAACCAAGTGGATGTTTTGGGATTATCTCTCCCCTCCTTCTATACTGAATGATACGTACACTCGTGCGTATTTAAAAAAAATTACGTGATCCTTTAAAAAAACATTGTCTGCACAAGTGCACATACGGCGTCTCCAAGATAGCAGTCTATTTATGCACGTACGTACAGTACTTTGTATTGTAGGAGTACTACAAAAGAGCTCGTCTCCCACCAAATCGCACACGGCGTTCCTCGTCGTAGCGAGATTACAGTGAACATGTCCGAATTAAGCAGAGGTCGGTCGACACCGAGCAATGATGTTCTTGGGCAACGAAACAAAGATATTCAGCTGCTGAGCTCCAGGAAGCGCCGGGCCATGGGGTGCTTGGCCTCGGAGAGGGCGGACGGCGCGAGCACCTCCACGACCTCGCCGTCGACGACGAGGCACACCAGGTCGGCGATCCGCTGGATCTGCTTCACGCTGTGCGAGACGATCACCGTGGTGAGCCCCCTCGCCATCTTGAGCCGCACGATGGCCTCCTCGATGTTCTGCGTCGAGATCGGGTCCAGCGCGCTCGTCGGCTCGTCCAGCAGCAGCACCTCCGGGTCGTTGGCGAGGGTGCGGGCCAGGGCCACGCGCTGCGCCTGCCCGACGGACAGCTCCGACGCCGGCCGGGAGGACAGCGCCGGGTCGAGGTCCGACAGGCTCAGCAGGCTCTTCACCTCCGCCTCGCTGAGCTTCTTGCCGCGCAGCTGTGGCCCGTACCGCACGTTGTCTGCCACGGTCCCTGGAGCAGCACACGGGGAACAACACGAAATCAGAAATCTCTCGTCTGAAACTTCTTTTCTGTTCTATGCATTGCTTATTAAGTTATTATACTACAGCACCACTACCATTACATATTTATCCTTTCTTTTATGGCTTGGAACAAGTCTAGCACACCGTTACTTCCAGCCACCACATTGCCGGTTGACATTATGCACGTAATATTCAGATGACAGTAGCAAAGGGGTGAAATTTGCGTAGTAAAATGTCGATCCAATTGGACATGGACAAGGCGTGTAGAGTTCATAAAGTCAATGTTCTTTGCACCTAGTATGAAGTCATGGAAAATGTATTCAAGGTATTTTATACCTGCCTGGTTGAGTAATTTATGAAGCAGAATTTTGTTCTGCACATGTAACTTTCAATCAAGGTGGTCTGTCTGCCAGCCGGAAAAAAGAGGTGGTCTGTCTGCATTGCCCTTGCACCTTGATAACAGAACTTCCGAAATGAATTCAATGAACTAATTTTAGATAACACATTTCACTAAGATAATTGTTCATTTGCATGCATGGCAATGTGCCTAATGACGGTCATAAGGGACAACAATCATACTTTACATCTAGGCATCAGATATCACCCAACATAAAGTTGTGTTTTATTCTAATCGGTTTTGCTATCATCCTAGTATGTGATATGTGATAAGTAATTGTGAATGCTCCATTGCCATCTTCAAAGCAAGATTCAGCTTAACTTTGTC